GCCGGCCCAGCCCCTCTCAGCTGGACTGGAGGGTTGTTTTGGGGGTTTACGCGGAAGGCAGGGCCCCAGCGCCAGCCGTGCGCCCAGGACTGGCTGACCTAACTCAGCCTGGGAGAGGGGCAGAGGCAGACGTGGCTGGGAAGAGTGAAAAGGGAGGGGTGGCCGAGGCTGACGGAGCCGGCAGAAGGGGTTTCTCGCTGGGCATGGTGCTGTCCACACGGGCAGGGGGGTGCCGCACCGTGGGGCAGAGCGCCCCGGCGGGCAGGGGGCCGATCAAGCAGGGATGCCAAGAGCCTGTCGCGTCCCGTGGTGCCGAAGCTCTTTCAACCTCCCTCGCTCAGCGCTGGGATGAAAGCCTGGGGCCAGGACCCAGCAGTAGGAGCCGGGTGGCTCGTTCTAATTCACTGAGCTGCCTCTTGTCCGGCAGCTACGCAGCCAGCGGGGACTGGAAGGGGAACGCTGGAGCAAAAGGCACCCTCCCACTGACCACATCCGGGGGGTCCTGTCCTTGAATGTTTGTCTCCCCCGGCCCCACCGCTGTTCTTTCCGCTTCTCTTCCGTGTCTGGTTCTGCCAGCTTCCTCCCTGCGCAGGCCTGTGGGGATGACGCCGTCCCCCCGGACATGAGCCCCACACACGGAGTGGCCCCTCCCCAGCGGCTTTCAGGTGCGACCCCCGCGAGGCTGGGATCCCGCCCCAGCTGCCAACGAGGAGACGAAAGTATTTTCCGGGTTTTTTTGTTTGTTTTTAATTGGGCAGGGGCCAGAAATAACGGACTGTCCGGGCGAAAACCAGACACCTGGCAACCTACACCTGGGCGGGCCGGCCTCCTCTCGATCGGGGCCCTCTTGGGTAGGGGCGTCGTGGTCAGCCACATAGGAACAAAGCCTGGCCCGTGCTCTGGGCAGAACCTATGATTCACCACCAGCGGGCTAGTAAAATGGAGGCTGCACAGCACGTTACTCTTTTCACCATCCGGTCACCTGCCCCTGCTGTGCACCCCGGCTGGGTGGCAGCCTCTCTGCTCCCTGCCGGCAGAAGGGTGAATTAGAGGCTCTGCTAGAAGGGAAGGGCAACCTCTCCTCTATGACTCCAGGGATCGGGGTTCAGGGCAGCACCCTGCCACAGCCTCCCTGTGAGCCCTTGGGCAAGTCGCTTCACTCTTCCCGCCTCATTTACCGGGGGATACCGATCCTTTCTCATCTGTTCAGGTATCGAGGGGCCATCTCCTAGGATGGCTAAATACAGCGCCGGAGGCAACCGGCTCCTGCTCTCATGGGTGGAAGCAATTAGAGGGAACTTTGGTCACCAGGTCTGGTTTAGACTTGAGGGCTCCTGAGGCTGAAATCAAAGCCCGATGACCACCACGCAGGCTTAAAGGGGCCATCAGCTCTGGGCATCGTGACTCAGTTTACCAGCTGCCTGCCTGGGACTGAAGCCCTTGGGCTTCTGCTCTGACCCATCCTGCCGGGGGTGGCGGGACTCAGACTGTGGTCCCCCAGCCCGTGGTGATGGGGCTCGGTCCAATTCAGGCTTCAGATCCCTCTCCTAGGGTTGTGCCGTGATTTTGTTGTCCGAAGAGGGTCGCGGGGCAGTGACGTTGGCGAACCCCGGTCTCAGATGGCCTCCCTGTGCCCTTCTACCCTCCAAAATCTGGGACTCGAAAAGAACCGGCAGAGCCCGGCCAGTTTTCCTGGGCTCCTCCGACACGTGGCCCATCCTCCGCAGTGCGAGGACTCTCCGGGCCACGTCATGAACGGCTGAATCTGCCCGAGCCAGGCCCGGCGTGTGCCTCGGCGTCTCGTCTGGCGTGAAGGTGTCCGCACAGGGCCAAGCCGCGTCAGAACAACATGAGCCCCCTGATCGGCCTTTGCAGCGTAGCGTGAAAACGGGCCAGGACTCGGGGGTCGGAGTTTGCACCGGGACCCTCCCCAGTTGCCATTTCACCCCAGGGCTGAGCGATTGGCTTTCTCCTTCGCTCGTTTGAATGGGAGCCCCATCCCACCCCCCTGCCACCCCCAAACCTGGCGCCAGCCCGATCCCCGCCGGCCCGGCTCCCGAAGAGCGATGACAAATCAAGACGCTAATGAGAAATTAATAAGGCAGCTGCGCTAACAACTAATGATAATGGCAAAGTCGTTAAAAAAAGATTCTTTACATGTTTTTAATTACAGCAATTAAGAGAAGTCAATAAAATATCTCCCCTTCCCTCCCCCTTCCTCACACGCCCTAGTTTATTCCTGGTTGTTTTTTTTTAAACTGCGATAAACTTCCAGCAAGCAAATGGCGGAGCAATAAGGAGGAGGAATGAGACGCCGACCTTGCCCGCAATGCCAAGCTCGTGAGTTGTCGCAAACCATGCGCACTGCTGGCCTTTCCTCCTGCTTCTCTTGGCCCTGTCGACTTCCTCGAGGGTTATCCACGTAGGGTCTGGAGCCTTTCTCTCTTCAGCTCGGCCTACCTGTTGCTTTTCAAGATGGCCCCTGTGGGCAAGATGGAGGGGGCATGGATGGGTCATCTTCGGCTTGGATTGAAGCACGAGGTCCATTGTGTGGTGGCGGGAGGCCAATCAGAGCCCCCCCAATATGCTATTTCTTTGTGGCCCCTGGAAGCCCCAGGCCTGAACCTGGCCCCCAGCGTGCTGGGCGCTGTACAAACCCAGAAAAAAAAAAGGCTCGGGAGCAGCCCTCTTAGTCTGTAAGGCTACGTCTATGCTGCAGCGCTATTTTGGGATACCTCCCGTATCGTGAAATACCCATTCCGTGTCTTTTGAACGTGCCTGTTATTTCGAAATATAGCAGGCTCGCTATTCTGGCGACCCTGTAAACCTCATTCCATGAGGAGGAAGGGACATTTCGGAAGA